AATTGACAAGCTGGTCGGGAAGCCGGTTGTCTATAGCTTTCAGTTACGTCAGCTGTTCATTGTACATTGTGTACTTTTTGTAAACACTACATGTACTATATAAAATAGATCAAATTTGAAATGTAATTCTTTTTTTCTTCAAAGAAAGGACTTATGATGGTTGTGCATTAACCCCATTTGGAAGTGTACAGGTTGATGAATTTCACATCAGAAGCACAATTTGATTTATTTTTACATAGTCAACAAATTAAATGGTAATCCGTATCGCGCTTCAAAATACTCAAGTGTTACAATTTTACAATACTTGTTCAGGAGTACACTTTTGTGAAATACCCGTTTATGGTGTGAATTCGGGGGAAAAAACACGCAAAATCCATTTATTCATATATTCATAATCAAAGAAGAGGGTCGGTATTCATAATATCAGAAGAGGGTCGCTATTCATAATACGAAATCGGGGTCGTTATTCATAAGGGTCCCTATTCATAATATTACAAAAGGGTCGGTATTCATAACACAGAAAGAGGGTCGCTATCAGGGCTCAAATTAATTTTTGTCCACGGGGGCTCTTCCCCCAAAAAGAGCCCCCCGTGAGCCTTCTCACGGGGGCTCTTTTAGTACTGACGGGGGCTCTTTTTTATACACATATCCATTGAATTGGTACCTACGATACTCCTCAATTATTTGCTATTTCATCATTATCATTTCAATCAGCATTTTCCCTCTTACAAATTTACAAGCTACATAGCTGTTACTGGCCTGTGTATATAATATATACGCATACAACACTGATCTTTATGATGTCTTTAATGTGATATCTTCTTCTCCCCTTGCAAACGAGAAAGAAAACAAGGTCATTGAAAGGGATTAAGCGACAAATAATGATTTTGATTCAAATTGATGCGAATATTTGTTTGAATAAGCACTGCTATTCACCCAAATCTTCTTTGTAAAAACAACTTTTACAAATCTCATCCATGCTTTCTGAGTTGTGACGTTCCATTCAATGTAAAATACTCATTATAGAATACACTTCTCCTAATCTGAAAGTGATCTTACAACACAGTGGCAGATTTGCATGGCTGAGATTTGTAAAAGTCGTTTTTACAAAGAAGATTCTGGTGAAAAGCATTGCTTATTCAAAAAAAAAATCCTTGCATCAATTTGAATCACAATGATTATTTGTCGCATGATCCTTTTATTAAATAACCTTGTTTTCTTTTTTGATTGCAGGGGGAGAAGAAGCTATGTCACGTTAAGAAATCATAAAGATCAGTTGTATTATGCGTATATACATAATTATGATACCAGAACAAAATGTTGATTATCAGAATGTCATTTTGAAATACCTCTATACAAATACCACATTGTCTTTAGCCCGTATCAGTATTAGTTTGATCCAATATAAAGCTATTAATCTTTATTTAATTCAGTATAATGCTTTTCCTTAAAAATTGTTTTGCTATTTTTTTAGTGTTGAGACGCTAAGAAATGGTTTCAAGTGTACATTACACGAACCCTGAACCATTGCAAAATGATGGTGGTACTCTCTCTCTATTTCTCTCTCTTTATTTTAATCATGCATTATCAACTACATATAAAGCAGCAACCAAAAAACTTAGGGTTATCTGAGATAGGTGAAAGTAAGAGTTAAAAAGAAAGTCATGCTAAAACGGCGCTTCACTCCCCCCCCCTGAAAAAAATAAAATAGATTAGTAGTCCTCCTCTCCAGCATCTCCCCCCCCCCGCTTTAATGTCACATTTTCACTTGGCAGCCCAAGGGGGCCGGGAGGAGGGGGTTACACCCCTAACCCCCCTAGATCTGCCCATGTTACCATATCATTCCACGACATCTTGGTCTTCCTCTTCTTCTCAATATGGACTTTTAGATTTGCGTGGACGTTGACGTGTTACGTCCTTTTAAGGCACTGGCAGCCACACGTCACGTCCTTTTAAGCACTGGCACTGCCTTAAAAGGAGGTCACACGTTGCAGTCCACGTTCTCATCGTGCAAATCTAAAAGTCCCTAATATTGATTTACTGGTCGAGTTTCATTATTTGCTGGTCATTTGAAATCACCAGATTTCAGCGGGTTAACGCTTTCACAATGAAAAACTTCTCCATGACCATGTTTCTGCCCTTGCGCGATCGCCTCAAGCTCCAGCAGACATGGCGCGGCAGCGTGCACACGTACCGCTACTAACGGCGCAGTAGGCCTATAACCACTGATGACGGCAGCACTGCACTGCGAGCTGAATCGGTAATAACTAGGCCTATCTTGCACGCTAATCTAAGTTCCATTTCTTTGGTTTAAGGTTTGAAAATTGAAACTCAATATTGTGTTAAAGTTATAACAGAAAAGATAATCTTATTTTATAATTCCACGCGGGCGATTTTTAATTTTGCAATCGCCCCCGTGAGCAACCTGACGGGGGCGATTATGTAGCTCACGGAGGCGAATCGCCCACCGCCCCCGTGTATTTTGAGCGCTGGGACTCGCTATTCATAATAGGAGTAGATGGTCGCTATTCATGATACGAAATGAGGTTCGCTATGCATAATAAAAGTAGAGGGTCGCTATTCATAATAAGAAATGAGAAGAGAAACGATTTATTGTACCATTCTCGACTCTTAATCCTTGTCTGAATTCAGTTTTCCCCCTCGCTTTGACCTTTCATTAAGTATTAGAGAAAAATGACGATTTGTTGTATCATTCTCGACTCTTATTTCTTGTCTGAATTCAGTCCCCCCCCCCACCCTCCTGCGCAAAGCACGTAAGCTTTGGCCTTTATAATAATATTTAATGAAGTTATTAGAGAAAGAAGACGATTCGTTGTACCATTCTCGACCCTTTTTCCTTGTCTGAATTTGATTCCCCCTCGCCCTCCGGAGCGAAGCGCGGAAGCTTTGATGTTTCATTAAATTATTAGAGAAAGAAGAGGATTCATTCTCGACTATTAATCCTTGTCTGAATTCTATACCCCTCCCTCTTGCGCAAAGCGCTTAAGCTTTGACTTTTCATTGTTTAATGCAATTATTATTAGAGAAAGAAGATGATTCGTTGTTCCATTCTCGACTCTTAATCCTTGTCTGAATTCAGTTTCCCCCCTCCCGCGCGAAACGTGGAAGCTTTGATGTTTCATTAAATTATTAGAGAAAGAAGAGGATTTGTTGTACCATTCTCGATTATTAATCCTTGTCTGAATTCAGTTCCCCCCCCTCTTGCGCAAAGCGCGTAAGCTTTGACCTTTCATAGTTTAATGAAATTATTAGAGAAAGAAGACGATTCGTTGTACCATTCTCGACCATTTTTCCTTGTCTGATTTGAGTTCCCCCACCCCTACCGCGCGAAGCTTTGACCTTTCATAGTTTAATAAAATTATTAGAGAAAGAAGACGATTCGTTGTTCCATTCTCCACTCTGGCTACGCGCCTGCTTTAAAGGGAAAATGAAACAATCATGATTGTGATAGCACACAATAATGTTAGTAGAAATGAAAAAGAACAACAATTATTGCAACAACCATGGATAAATCACGGCCGGAAGCGTGGGCCGAGTGTCATATCATCAGGGGCGTAAATCCGTACCGAGGAGTGGGGGGATGATCGGCGATAGCCATCACATACTACACGCCAGGCGCGTACGCAGGATTTTAACATTTATAAATCGGGCCGAAAAAATCGCAACGACTCAGCCGACCGCTGAATAAGCATTTTTTTTTCAGGGGGGGATGTTTGTACAGGCCACCCCCCCTACTTCAAGCCAGGGGGGGGGGGGATGCAGCCCCCCTATCCCCCCGGGATTTACGCCCCTGCATATCATAGTTTTGTGTTATTGGGCGAGGGGGCGTAACGACCAAGCGAGATTTTGCAATGTTGAATGCTGACATTATCCCTAAGCCCAATATGTACGTTCTTTCCGCTATAATTATATCTTTCTAGCTATATTTCTAAATTTCCTGGGGGACGTGTCCTCCTATCGGGCCCAGGATTGCCGCCCTGTCCATGATTACTACCAACATGAGCTCAAATACAAGCTCAAGCGAGTTTATATGAGCTGAAGCCAAATGAAGGGCAAAATAAGATTTGTGAAGCGGCCCCACTACCGTTAATTACAAAATTGACTTTGCAGGGCAGGGGCTGTTTTAACGTTTAACTTAGATTCCGTGGCTCGAAAGTTACTGTCACTAAGCGCCATTTCCTTGTCTTTCCACCTTTCTCACCCGACTTCTTTCTTGTCTCTTCTCTTTTCTTTTCTCTTCTCCTTTCTTTTGTCTTCTCCTTTTGTCTTCTCTTCTTTTTATCCTCTTTTTTTGCGCCGCCAATAGGGGGGGGGGGGGGGGGAGGCCGCGGCCGTTTCGGCCCCCCAGGATCCGCCACTGAGTATGCCTGTGGTGTCAAAAACGTATCTTTTCTTCCTCTTTATTTTCTTTCCCTTTCTCTTTTTTGCTGAGGGGAGGGGGGAGGCAAGATCCTTTCGATCCAAACCTTGTTGGCGGGAAAATCGCAACTGACATCCCGTTTCTTTACTTTTCTTCTTCCTCTTTTTTTCTTTCCTCTTTTTCTCCTCTTTTTATGGGGGAGGGGGTGGAGGCAAGGCCTCCCCTCGATTACCTTCTTTCCCCCCATTTCTTTTCTTCTTCCTCTTCTTTCTTTCCTAGTTGCCCCCAAATTTGAAACGTGGGTTATTTTTAATTCGATACCAGTGATTTACAAATGTTTCCGAGAATTTGTTCACTTTTTGGTCAATCATAAAATTTTTGTATGCGTTTGTTGAAAAGTGACTAATTCCAAAATGTATACTCGGGCAAAAAATATGCTACTTTAGTAGCTAACGTGTCATGGTTTGAACCCCCCCCCCCCTCCACACACACACACACACCTTTTTGAAAAGGTATGTTAATGGGGAAATATAAAGAAAGAAAGAAAGGTGACCTGCCGGTTTCACAAATGAGGTATCAAAATATGCCGTCACACATAGGCTAGCGATTGTTTTCATTCGTGGAAAGGAAACGGTCAGCACTACCAGTCAGCACTACACCCTTCAGTGACCCTTGCCACTCCCTGAAATCAAGTCGACCAGAAGAGAGGTACAGGTACCTGAGATCCAGAGAAATTTTGCTTTCTATCTTCAATTTTGCCGGATCTATCCCAATTTCTCAAGATGGTAAGTAAAAATAATCATGATTTACTTTTTTTTACCTTCCTGAAATGTGTTGCTGTCGTCTACAGTTCTTATATATTTTTGAGGTATTAATACACCTGTTTATCAAATTCCGTTTAGGCATATTTCTCTCTCGAAACATTGGTCTTCTATTCACCTATTAGTGGTTTCTGTATGGAATGAATCCACTTTCCATACTTCGGTTGTTGATTCGTTGGGCAATAATCTCTGCTGCATGCATTGGTGAAACAGACTAGCGCAAATAAGACTACTGTTGTAGGGTTGTATTTACTTATAGTTACTAACAATTACTACATGATTTAATTCACGTTTTTTCCAAAATAATATACCTTTACTTACAAGTTTTGGGTTTTAACTAAAAAAGCTGTTTTCTCCATCATCGTATATGATTTATCTTGGATTTTCCTTTCTAATTCATCCGATGCTTTCTGCAGAAAATTCCTGCTATATTGCCGACTACTCAAGCCCGATAATTCCCCGATTTTTTAAATAAAAAAAAAACACATTTTAGTCATGATTTTTTTCTTTCTAAAAACGGATAGTCCCTGCGATCGAATATAAATCCAGTTAAAAAAAAAAAAGGGGGGGGGGGGAATTTTTAGACTTTGAACACCTCGCGCAAGGGCTCGGACTTCTAAAACCTATTTTTCTGTTTAACTCTCACTATCATCCCTGCTACTGAGCGAGGTTCACCCAGATAACCCTAGGATTGTTTGTGTTGCTTATTATGAAGTTGATCTCTGATGATTAAAAGAAATAAAGAGAGAGAGAACCAATATCATTATGCAATTGTTCAGGTTTGTGTAATGTACTCTTAAACTATTTCTTATAAACGTCTCAACCCTAAAAAAATAGCGCAACTATTTTTGACGAAAAGCATTATACTATACTGGATAAAGAATAATAACTTTATAGATAAAACTGGCTATAAAGACAATGTGGTATCGGCAAAATATTGATGCTATGATATCGGATATTTTTAGTCCAGGTCCTGGACGATTTTTTATTGATGCGCAACCCCCTCACATAACCAACTGTACAGATGGCGCAGTCATATTACCGCGCTCATTCACTTACTCCAGTGATTCACTTACCCCCGTGATTCACTTTCCCCGAAAAAAAAATCAGTTCCAAGTACGACTATTCTGCATGTGCGTATGTATGTGTGTGTGATATGGGGTGTGCACTCAATTAACCAGAACAGTCCAGGGGTGGACTAAATAGGGATTAGTACTGTGGCACTGGGTGAATTGCATGGGGGCAGCTTATAGAGGTATTCCAAAATGACATTCTAATATTCAAATGCATTCTTCTGTATACACTGATCTTTGTTATCTCTTTGACGTGACATGGCTTCTTCTCGCCCTGTAAACGAGAAAGAAAACAAGGTTATTTATAGGGAAAATTCGACATAATGGCCCGAATTCACAAAGCAAGGTTTGAGCTCAGACCAAGGTTTGACCTCAAACCTCCTTTTGTTTCGCCAAACCTCCTTTTGTTATTTACAAACCTGGTTTGTAAATAACAAAGGGAGGTTTGGCGAAACAAAAGGAGGTTTGAGCTCAAACCTTGGTCTGAGCTCAAACCTTGCTTTGTGAATTCGGGCCTATGATTGTGATTGAAATTGATGCAAAGATTTGTGTGTGGAATAAGCACTGCTTTTCACCAGAATCTTGTTTGTAAAAACAACGTTTACAAAATAATCTTAGCTATGCTGACTGAGTTGAGACGTCCCATTCAATACTCTTTGAAGAATGGAATTCTCCTAATCTGAAAGTGATTTTACAGCGCAGTGGCAGAATTGCGCCATTCCCTGTCATTAATTTACAAAAGGGCCTACATACATTACAGAGGAATCATTGCATAAAGCCTTAGTCCCCCCCCCCCCGGGGGGGGGGGGGGGGGGGTACTGAGATTATAGTCGGACGGGGGTGTGCGGCTGAGACCTCCGAACCCATACCCACATCCAAGGGTCCTTTTGCTGTAAATAAGTACCCATGTCTAAGGATTTCAAACGTTAAATATTACATTTTTTAGCTGTAATAATAAAATGGCCAATCATTTTGCAGTTTCTCGATAAAATTCTTTATTAGTAAACTGTACCATACTACATGTACGCATATGCATGTTCCCTCCTTTTGAAAACATCCCCTAAGTCCGGTTTGTAAAGTCAATACGGTCGGGATTTTTGTGTACTACGAGCCGGACTTTGGTGCGTGAAAAGTAGCCCTTTACCGGACATTTTGGTAACACGCATGGTATCCCTCCGTTCACGGAGTGGGGGGGGGGGGGGGGGGGGGGGGGGGGGAGGGGGGGGGGGGGAGACAAGCCAGACTGGGTTTCACCCAAGTTGTTGACCACACAGGGGATGACCCACCTCCGTTGGCCCCAGTGCCCCAAACAACACCAAACAAACAACAACAACAACAACAACAACTGTCTTTTAATATTCTAAGGGAGGAAGAGAGAGAGAGAAAGAGAGAGAGAGAGAAAAAAAAGAGAGGGAGAGAGAGAGAGAGAGAGAAAGAGCGAGCAAGTCTAGATAGTTCGAGGCTCGAATCAATACGTTTATTTATTTTAAGAGGGGAACACCTTTAGGTTATAGAATCTAGGCCAGAAGTGAGGGAGCCGAGGGGAGGGGGTAGGGGGGGGGGGTGCACAGTGCCCCACTCTTTTCAGGTACCACTCAGGTGCCTCTTTTAACCTAGGAAAGTTGCCCCCTTATTACTTCAGATAAGTGCCTCTTTTATGTTTAATAGGTGCCCGTTCCACGTCCTACCACCTCTGATAAGTGCCCCCTTCCCCGATGATAATTGCCCCTATTCAAATTACTTTAACAAGTGCCCTTTTCTTTTTTTATAAGTACCCCTTCTCACCTCTCATAAGTGCCTTTTTTCGTTTTGGCACGTGCCCCCTTGTCTTTCTAATAAGTGTCCTTTCTTTTGAAAAATGCCCCTTTTCTTTTTGATAAGAGTAAGTTCCCTTCTTCATAAAATAATGCCCCTTGCACACGTCTGCTAATTGCCTCTATTAAAATCTCTTAGTTGCCCCTTTTCTTTCGACAAGTTCCCATTTCCTTTGTAATAAGTGTCCCTATTCATGTCAGGTGAGTGCCAGTTTTCAGGTACAAAACATGCCCCTTATAACCTCTGCTAAGTGCCCCTTCACCTCTTTTCTAATTGTCTCTTTTCAAATCTGTTCAAACATCTTTGAAATATTTTATTTTGACAGTTTAAAGTGCCTCTTTTCATTTCCGGTGAGTGCCCTTATTAAAATTTAAGATGTGCTCCCTTAACTTTGTAATACATGCCCCTTTTCATCTCTGATAAGTGTCCCTTTTATTTTGAAACGTGCCCCTTTCCTTTCAATTCCGATTTTTACCTTGACACGTGCTCCTTTTCTTTTCAAATAAGTGTTCTTTTAGCTATGGATAATTATGTGCACCTTTTTCCTTTCACTATTTAAATATGCTCCCAATTTAGAGCGATAAAGAGCAACTTTTTCTTCAGGGTCGCCAAAAGCTCGCTCGCTACGTTCGCTCGCATTTTATGCTTTTACATTTTGTTTCTTATTAAAGACCTTTTCAGTATTTCATGATAATGATTCTTTTTACCTCTGTATAAGATGTAATTTTTCGCACTGCGACCTCACAAATACACTGCAAAGTAACATGCTTAAGCAGTATCTTGGACCATGTAGAGAGAGAAACAAGCAATGAAATCATCCCTGATTATCTGATCACAATGTAGGGGTATAAGGGCAAACCATGTATACTATTGGTATATTTCGCTTTGAGGTTTCCCTTTGTAGGTGACCCTTTTTTTCTCTCCAGAAAGTGCCCTTTTTTGTTTTGTGTTTGATAAGTCAATGAAGCAAAATACGACATTTCATTTTGTAAATCCTTAATCGCTAATAACGTTCTTTTAATTTCGTTTATTTTCTTCATTACAGGCAGCCGAATTATTATTTTCCAAAGAGAAGATAGCAGGTACGCAAAACAATGAGTCCGAATGTTTCAATTTTTAAAGTAGAAGATCAAATCTATAACAAGAGGGTATCATAAAACAATATTAAACATGATAATAATATTGCAATTAAAGTGTAAGCTCTCGAAGACCATCAAAATAAGATCACTAAAGATCTGAAAATAATAATTGGTCTTCTAGGATAAACAAAATTCTTGTTAACATTAGAGGACAGAGGTTGGTTGGTTGGTTGGTTAGTTAGTTTGTTTGTTTGTTTGTTTGTTTTGCCTGACTGCTAAGAAAAGCAGTTTTGTGCTTACAAGTAAGCAACCAGGGGACCAACGGCTTTCAATCCTTCTCGAGGGACTTGGTAATGAGGATTAATGTCTTACCATAAGGCACTAGCGCATAGACTAGTCAATCACGGGACCTCCCGGCTGCGCAATTTTTTTTTACACGCTAGCCTGGCCATTTCTATGATAAACACCATTGAAACGACTAATATTAGTCTAGCAGCCTACATGCGAGGAGCATGATGATAAACATGTACATCGTGCATGACAATCATCAGATAAAGACATAGCTGGCCCTTTTAAATGAGACGGCCATCGCAGCCATTGGGCGATGGAATTCAAAAACTTAATCTATTTTAATTTAATTTAGGAACTTTACATTAATCTTGATCTAAGCTTGAGACACGAACGACCGAACGTTCAGCTAGAGAGCAATCAAGTTAAACTACGGTAGGCCTAGTGCATGCCTACATGTAGGCTTTATCTCCAGCGCACTTTTACGAGTATTACGGCGAAACTGGCCAGACTAGCGTGTAAAAAAAATATTCGCCTCCCGGCTACGAGACCATTGCTCTACCACTGAGCCATCACGCCTGCTTGCAATTTGAAGATTTCGATGTCGAAAAAATCAAGCAAAATAACGTCTTATAATGAAAAAAAAAATCCAGTTATGTATAGTCATGTAGAAGTATACGCTTTCAAGAGGAACGACTTTGCTTTTATTAGCAATAGCCAGTCTTTTATATTATATAATTTTATAGTCAGTTTATATATTGGTCTTATTATGTACATTTATTTACTCGATGTCGCCAACAAACCTCTCCTGCCACTTTCCTCCCCTGTCTTACTGACATCGTATCTGCACTTTGTTTTGTTATTTTGTTATTACCTCTTTGTAGTACTCAAGGGAAAATTCTCCGAGCTTGAAAATGACGATGGATCCATCGGTGTTGGGAAGTTGGAAGAATTGATGACATCACTGGGAAAGTGCTTTCCTCAGACTGAGCTTAGAAAAAAGATCAATAAGGTTGGAGATGATGGTGAGTTCAGAGTTGAAGACTTATGAAATAACAACGAAAGCGATGATGAAACTGACCACAAGACGTAAATTGAAGTTTAATAATCTATGACTTGAAGCATAATTTTTTTTTAATTTAACATGGGTCGCAAACATCCGTAAAAGAAGTTTGACATGTTCAAAAAGAATTCTGTGATTTAAAAAGTAAATTGGGGTGCTGGCTGTTCATTCCTTGTCAGAGTTCGTCATATGCACGACAGGAAGCATAGCCAGAAATTTGACTGAAAAAGGGATATCTTGAAGTGATTGAAACAAATATTTCAAAGATGTTTAATTGATACTTTTTAGTTCATAAAACATATTCCATGGAAGAATAGTTAAAATATTTTGCATAATTGAAATAATATATTTATAATGTATATATATAAATCAATAGCTTGTTTGAACGTCTGTTTATGAAGTATAATACAGAGGTCTAGATCTCAACTCATTAGGCAATTATTTAAGTGAATTATCGGATCTAATCTTCGTGCATTGAATCGAGTATTACAAATGCAAGATGAATCACTATTCGAAAATGACTTTTGTGTGGGAACTAAGAAGCCTATTTTTCTTCATTCTGCTAGGTAACGGAACTATTACATTTTCTGAGTTTTTGACGATACTAGCAGGTGAGACGGATTGGGCATATTCACAATACCGCACTGCTTTCAACGCCATGGACAAGAATAAGGACGGATTCCTCAGGTGAGTTGAACAGTGATAGGGTAGTCTTAAGGAGTGAAGGGGTAAGAAGGGGCTGATTTCCGAGTCTTTTATGAGGATGGAAAAAGATTTATCAGGTAAATTTGAAGAAGAAAAAAATCCAATGGATTGTCCGTCCAAGTTTCCACTGTTGGAGAAATGTGGACGATAATCAATTTCTTGCTAAAGACAAATGGTAAACAGCGTGTTGGGATACCCAATCTCTAAGTATGCCCCTCCCGCCCCCTCACTCCTTCCCCGTCCCCGCCCCCCCCTATCTCTCTAAAACTATCAACTAGACAATAAGCTCCAAGTATAACTACGATCTACCACCACCGGGAGGTGATTGTCCGGATGGATGGGGACGATTATTGTGCTTGTTATGCTTGTACAAGAGTAGATCAATGATCATAATTTTATTTTCGATATGGTATGGTCGAGATCAGATTTAGCACCTCAATGCTGGATCAAGATTCATTACATTTGAAAGAATATTCGTTGATGATTTAGTCAATGACTTTAATGGAATAATTCAAATTTTGAGAAAGTGAACTCAAAATAATTGTTATTTGTTAATTATTTGCTTGCAGCGCTGACGAGCTGCGTGAAGCGATGTCAACCATTGCTCAACCGATGACGGATGAACAAATCGATGCCTTTATCAAGAGAGCCGACTATAATGAGGACGGTAAATTCGACAGAGATGGTGAGTGTATTGAATGGATAATGTCAGTGGCATAGTTTGAGCCCACCTATTGAAGGGAACTGGAATGATATGGGGAGGGGCTCCGATCTTACTCGTAAAATGAAACACGAATTTGAAAGGCTGCTGCTCAGAGGAAGGATTATGGAAGGTGGTCCAGGAGTCTTCTTGTCTCGTCCCTCCCCCCCCCCCCCGTTTCAAAACCTCACAGCCAGCTGACAGTATACACTGATTCATATGTACTACTAAATGAACCTTCCATAATTTTGTTCAGTTAAATCGTATGACAAGTAGTCGACTTTTACCTATAATCGTCGAAATATTATTAGCAGTTCTCATTAGACGTCATTTTTGGTTCGCCTGCGTAGCGGAGCGAGGCATAGGCGTCACTATATCCGGCGTCATTGGAGTTGTCGTCGTCGTTCGTGTTGTTGTAGTCAACAATAATGCTGTATTCGCAATAAATATGAATAGCTCTGAGGAGGTAGGATCACCTTCATCTGAGAAACTATTATTATGTTGCCTATATAGGCCACCTGACTCGAATATATTTGAAAAAGCAACTGATGAATCATCTGATCTACTGATCATAGGGGATAATAATATGGATGATAAAATGCACGTATCATTCCATGAAAATTAATCTCATAGAAGACATATTCCTTCTAACACAAATGATAAACAAGCCAACTAGAGTAACTATGTTATCATCAACTTGTATATACCATTTGTTAAGTTAAATACCCCAGAAGCACATTATATGTGATGTTGCAAACATTTTCCATGAGTGATTATTATATGATTTATTCATGTATTAACCTTATCATTAAAAGGAAACAACACAATACTCGTCGTTTTCGGGACTATAAATTTTGATGAAAATCGATTAATTGCTTTTATGAAAACAGCTGAATTAAGTCAATTAGCTAACGATGGTCCAGTTGAAGTAACATGGAATGCTTGGAAAGAAGCATTTTGAAAATAAGTAACAACATGCACCTATCAAAACAACAAGGGTAAAAGACAGGATTTGTCCCTGGATGACTCCAGAAATGGTAAAACTCGTGTACACCAGATATTTTCTTAAAAGAAAGTCCGTGTCTTCTCCTGAACAAGAAATTCGTACTGAATATAATAACAAGTAATAACAAATGAAAAAGAAACAAATATTATCTGTCTCATACCAAAACGAAAACAGGAATACTTCCGGGATAATAAACATAAGAATTATTCGAAGAAATTATGGGCAGAATGGAATAAGATTTCTGGAGTGACAAAGTCTAAGGACCTTGTCACGTGCGATAGCTCGCTTGACTTAGCTCATTAATCTAGAATAGGCTACTTAACCACCCTGAGTAATACTACCAAAGGATTCCAGAAATATAGGTTGAATGTAACATTTGACCATGTAACTCAAATCTAGGAGGATATTACAAATCTCTTTGCTCAAATAGAACACATCATATTATTGTCGTTTACAAAATAATAAGTCAATGTAAATAGTATACAGACATTCAATGACGTTTAAATAAATGGTTCTCTTCTCTAAGTTTATGAGAGTATGCATGGATCAAAACTATAATCCCGTAAATTCAACGTTAAACTTCGATGAAACTATACGACGACTGCAACGACGAATGAACGTATGTTGATCAGTGGCGACGCAGAATGATTGCCCTGAAGGCCTGAACGGTTGAGAGCTAGATACGCGCCCCGTTGATCTGGTTGAAGATAAACTAAACGTACAGGACTTCTCAGTACTGAAGATGTCCTGGAGCTACGGGCACTGACACCCCATTTAATAACGTTTAGCAGCATGCAGATACCACTTGTGGTGACCTAGCTGCCAGTCATTTACCTTGAATGATCTTGAAGCACCTGACTTTGTCATATAGGCCTACGTAGGCCGAGGTTGACCGCCGTCTAAAATAAGAAAAGACAGAAATCTTAACTGCATAGGTCCTAAAATTAACACGAAAACGCAAAATACAACTTTTATTACATTGAGTTCCCAACATTAGCAAAAATGTCCATATTTTAAAGAACTCAGCCAAACAAAAAATACATATCATTCGATAATAAAACAGCTTCATATCTATCCTCTTTAAATGTCCATATTTTAAAGGACTCAGCCAGACAAGAAGTACATATCATTCGGTAATAAAACAACTTCATATTATCCTCTTTAAATGACTATAACAATGAATGTTTAAGCATATAAAAATGACATAGGTTTACAATGATGTATAAAAATGTAATTTACTTACAATTCGGCATTGAGAAGAGGGGAAACAGTCTCAGCATGCACTGGGTTGGCACCACACCACACCTGGTTTCTTTCATTGGAAACACCCCCCCCCCCCCATTTCTCTTGAAAGGGGCAGATCAAGTTCGAAAAAGGAGCCAAATCTGACTGAGGTCAAATGTCAAAGATCAACTAATTTTTCACGAAAAGCAATGTACATACATATTGAATAGAACTTTGATGATGAAGGTTCAAGACCATCTTATGTAAAGATCTCAACGATAATTATGTACCTTAGTAGACCTTATGAATAACGCACAATCCCAAGATGATTTCGGATCGCTTGGTCAACAGACAGTTGAGTTATGACATTTAAGAAACATCGCACTTGAGGGATATTCAATCAGAGGCCGAGGCATAATTCTCAATCGTGCGCAGTATAATATTTTTCTAGTCTGTGTTTTTATGTAAAACCAAAGGTTTTTAGATCGTATTAGCAGCATTCTTAAGAAGTGTTCTCTCATTTTCCAGGGATGAAGTCTATGCAACATTACCATTACAAGAACCAAAATTCACATCCTGAAAGCTTGAAATTACTTACTTTTCATATGCGTATTGGGTTATCATTCGTATCGTGAAACGCAGGCGAGACAACATTTGCAGATTGCCTCATTTATTTTCATTCACTGCATATTTTTTCTCCTTTACTACTTTTTCAGAATTCACTATGATGGTTCTTGATGAAATGGTTCGTTTTTGATCATTGAACTCTTCTACTTCAACGTCGAAAAAGTGTCCTTTTCTTCTTCTTGAGGACTCCTCGGGAGAGGGTTATATAATCGTCTCGTATCAGATTGTTCATATGTTCCGGTGAATTTTTTGTTAAGCTGTCACTTTTGTTTGTTTGTCTTTTTCAAAGAGTGCTTCGAATTTCAATTCACTTTATTTCTTCACATTTTGTCATTATACCCAGGGTGCTTTTATAACTTTTGTGTACTCCTTCAGGTATAAATGTTGCTTTTTTTTCTTTATTCTGAAAGCCAACTATTGGTATTGCATTATGATACATTTGACATCATAATTTTGTTTTTTTCGTGTGTAATGTATTTCGTGCCTGCGGTTAGGATGGAGTTTAAACACCAAAGAATAACCATGTCCAAAAAGTGCCATGGTACACAAGGGAGAAGAGGAATTTAAACTTTCTTACATTAATTCATAATGGTCTTTCATGTGAAGGTGTTGAGATTTATTCACTTGACTCATCGCATTAAATTGAATGGTTTATTGAGCATACTGAAAATGGCAGCACGAAGGCTAAATAACATTTATTTTACAATAAAAGCACCTAAAACAAATAGCAATGTTGAAACAGTTAGTACATAACACTTGCAAGAATACATTCAAAGATTAAATTAATTAGATAAAACGTTATGACAAAACCCCCTCTCAATCTGGACCTCTAGGAAGATCAGAGCTATTTAAGTAATGGCCCTAAATAGAGCTATTTATCCGTATCATTTTTAAGTAATTATATTTAGTTGTTATGTTCAGGTGTATGTAATATGTTTTTATACGGAAAATGAAACCAAACCAAACCAAACCACTCCAAGGGTTGAGAGCCCGGGACTAACGTCCTTTGACAAGGCATTAATCCACATTTGCCACTCTCCACCCAGGTGTTAATGGGTACCTGGCAATTACTGAGGTAATGATCATTGCAGGGCCTGCAGGAACAGCAGTATTTATACTGATGTTGTTAGCCTGAGTTAACCAAAATTACTATCAATTTTATTATTATTATTATTGTTATTTTCATCATTTTATGGGGATATCACAGTGAAGTAGATAAAATGGGTATGTTGTAAACAATTATATACGGTGACATTTATAATCATGCATTTTTCACTAAATAAAACTTTGCTAAATAATACTCTGATATTTCTACCGTCCAGTTTGTAATTGTAATTTATTTGCTGTAAAGAATTGATCATTTTATTTACAAAAATATATCACAAACGTTACTCGCTTCATTGACAAAGACAGAGATGGTGGTGACAGATGACAGAGATGGTGGTGGTAATGATGATGATTATTATGATGATTATAATGATGGTGATGATGATGATGATGATGATGATGATGATGATTATGACTGTCCACGTAATGGTTCGCGATTCAAGCATTGTGATATATTATTAAAAATATGATATAAACATTTACATAATTATCTAATATCCATTGTAAATAGAATCGGGATGAACAGTAGTCCTACCGCTGAATGGGGATCTCCGTCAGAGTCCCTTCATTGCCCTTGTCGATATGATGGGGCCCAACGGCAGATAAAGTTAACAATTGTCATGATTATAATAATATTCGATAATATTCCGCTTTTATATAGCGCCCAAAACATCGATACAGCGATGTGCCTAAGCGCATTTAGTCTTTCTACATTGGGATAATAATGATCTCGGAATTACTAATGTTATTCGAATATTTAGACCTCTGTTAAGACGTTTTTATTCCAAATAAATGTATATCTCATAAATGGAATTAAATATAAGGAAATCTTATTTCGCTAATTGTCCGAAGTAATTAAGCTATCACATTTAAAACTGTTATTGTAAGGGTGTATAATGATGAGTCCGCAGACAATGATGCTGACCTACTTTTGAAAGCCTTAAGACTTGCAATTTTTAAGTTTCCATTATAAGAGTCCGTTGAAACTTTGGATCATTTAGTATATTACAATATGGCTTAATTCATTCGAAATGCGCTTCAATTCTTTACATGTATGTATGTATATTTTGTGAGATCTTTGGATGAAATTTTATACACTTCATTTTCAATCATTACATGCAACACACCAGTTATCATTTCGTTAGTACCGCAGTGTAAAACAATTTAAGCCGATACTGTCCAAGCCTGAACAAAACAGAAACAAGAACCAACAACAACCGCAACAAAATGAACGTTTAACCAGGGAGAATGGGAGGATATACCCGAAAAGTGCCACTTTAACGTTGTAAGAACTGGCCCTTTTTATATATATAGCAAAAGCGCCTCTATCGCTTTGTAAACAAGCCCCTTTCTCTTTTCACCTCTGAAAAGTTTCCTTTTTTTTGTAAACGTGCCCCCTTTCCTTTGACAAGTTCCCAAGTTCTTTTGCAATACGTATCCATTTTTAATTCTCATCAGTGCCCTTTCTGATCTCTAGTAAATGCCTCTTTTCAGATACGAGAAGTTCTCTTTTTCACTTTTAATTCCCCCTTTCCTTTGTAAGAAGTGCCCCATTCCCCTTTTAATAACTATTCCTTTTCAACTCAGATAGGCGCACCTTTTATTTTCTGATGTGCCTCTTTTCCTTTCTAATATTGTCCCTTTTCAAGTTCTCATAAGTGCCCCTTTTCATCGATGGTAAATGACCTCTTTCAGGTACGAGAAGTTACTCCTTTCCACTTCAGATAAATGCCTCCTTCATCTCCGATAATTGCCCTTATTCAAATCTGAGAGATGCTTGTTTACTTTGAGCCCCTTCCCTTCCTGATAAGGGCTCTTTTAATCTCTGATGAGTGCCCCTTTTCACCTCTAATAACTGCCCCTTTTCCTTTCTAATAAATGCTCTATATCCTTCTATAATGAACTCTCCCCTTCTCATAACTACCCTTTGTTATCTCTAATAACTGACCCGTTACTTTCACAAGTCATGTACCTCTTTTTATTGTTGATAATAGCCAATTCCCTCTTGTCATAAATACGCCCCTACACCTCCGATAAATGCTCCCATTACAATCTGATCGGTGCCCCTTTCTTTCAACAAATGCATATTTTCTTTTATTATGAGTTCCCCCTTTTTATTCTCATAAGTGCCCCTTTCCATATCTGGTCAGTTTCCCATTTTAGGTGCGACAAGTGCCCCGTTTCACCTCGGATAATATTCCATTTAGCGTATTATAATACGCGCCCCTTTTCTTTTATAATAAGGGACATATCATTTTTTCGTAAATGCCCCTTTACACCTCTTATAAATGCCCACTTCTCATTCACAGAAGTGTCCCCTTTTCATCCCTGGCGAGTGCCTCTTTTCGGGTGTAAGAAGTGCCCCACTTTCACCTCTGATAATTACCTTTTGTACGAGCTCGTCTTCATTTCTAAAAAGTCTCTTATCCCTTTCGATAATCCCCTTTTCCTCTCGTCAAATAAAATACCCCTAATTCAAATCGATTAAGAGAAATTCACCCAAAATATTATCAAAGGTTTTTTCAGTTTTCCGTTATGAGAATGTGCTTATAACCCCAGCAGGATTGGTAATTTCCCCTCTGTATAAGATGTAATTTTACGCACTGCGACCTCATAAATCTCAAATTGTTACTAGGTAGTTCCGCTCGCTCGCAAATGAATATTCAGACCATCACACACAACTGCAATGTATGATGCCTAAGCAATATCTGGTATGATGAATAAAGCGAATCATAAATATTGAATTCATCCCTGATAAGGTAACCACAATGTAGGGGTATATACCCATGATTAAAAATTGTATATTTTCGCTTTGAGATTTCCCTTTGAGGGTGACCTTTTTTTCTCCAGAAAGTGCCCATTTTTTGGTGCCACCCCCCCCCCACTTTGGAAGTCACTTGGCCGCCCCTGACAGCACCCATAGTCCCGCTTCGTTTATTTACAGTACTTTCCCAAGGAGAATTTCCTACAAAATCCAAGGTTATCATGAATTTATGCTGGAAAAAAATCACAGAAATAAATGATATCCTGGCAAAAAGGATACACCAAATCACACGTATTGGGTTTGAACATTTCTTCAGCTTCAAGAGGGAGGAGGGCACCGTTCCCCTCAGACTATCCTCTGTCCGCTTAATATTTTCTCACGAATTGCCCCCCCCCCCCCCCCGCTCCCCCCTCGCCGTCGATTGGATCCGCCCCTGGTGGTGGTGGTGGTGGTGGTGTTGGTAGTGGTGATGTTGGTAATGGTGCTTGATGGTCGTAGTAGTTATGGATGATGTGTATGTGGTGGTGAACATGATGATGGTGATGGTGATATATAATTATCGTATATGAATACCATCATAACCAAAATCGGACATTAATTATAAATATCAATTCTATGAGAATTAGTTCCTGTGAAGAATTAATGCGATGTATGCGTTTTCTGAGAGTGCTATTTTACTATGTGTTTTTTGGTGCATGTACACATATGAGCGTTGGTGTGCTTAGGCCAGACACGGCTATTCAATATACAGGGAAAGGTTTATTATAATTGGCTGGAATTAATTCGTTTTGTATCATTGCCTGCCATGCCCTTGTGCTCGCCCGCAATATAATGATGATAGGGAATTATACCATATACATATTGATGTCACGGTATAACCCATGGTATAACTGAGATGTACTTGGCTTATACAACCTATGGGATGTGAGAAGGGGGGGGGGGGTAAACTCTTATTACACGAAGGCGAGTTGTAACTAAATAATAAGATGTGCATGTATCTTTTATTTTTTTATTTTATCTTCATCTCTTTTTCCATTTTGGTAGATTGGCCCAATTATGAATATCTAATGGTTATTTTAATAATGATGTTTATAAATTCCTGGATTGGATTGGATTGGATTGGATGTTGATAATGATAACTGTTGTGTTATGAGGCATGGCCTAACCGTAGATTGTGGATAAAATAATCAGTGGAATATTTAGAGGATAAATAGACTCACATCTTGCTCGGGTTGAGGTTTATTGGCGCGGACCGATAGGCAATGATATGCGCGCGCATCATGTAGCTCCCTTTACTATGGTTAAATTGTCACTTACTACAACTTACCCCTTTTCCTTACAAAAAGAAAATGGAACAGTTAGGGTGACATAAATATACCTATTCTTTCGTTCTTTTTGCCGTTTATTTTCTTTTGAATATGTGTAATAATGATAATAATAATAGTAATAATCATAACAATAACATAATGATAATAATAATAATGATAGAAATAGAAATAATAATAATAAAGAATGATGATAATAATAATTATGGCGACAGGCATGAATTATAATCTTGAATACTAGGACGGCATCTAGCGCTTTACCAGCGCAAACCTTGTAAGTTTAATAGTATTAATAATCAGTGATAATAGTAATGATAACCATGATAATGACTATAGGTACGAACAAAACTGAGTTTGATATTTCATTTCATGAATTTCCCATTTCTTTCTAAGGAAATTGATTTTCTCATGCCCTTTTCTTAAGTTTTTATCGTAACGTGTTTTGCACTTATAAAACAGGTCTTTCTGTTGAAAGGGAATAGAACAATAATGACAACTATTAGCATTTATTAAAAAACCCACCAGTGCTAGTCTTTTTGTGATCAAATTAATATTCATAAAGCACTAATGAATACCAGTGTATAATTTCTTTGCTGAACAGTTAACCAATTTCTTTCTAAAAGTGTCCGTTTAGAATGTTGTAACTCTCATTACCATCTCTTGTGATAAAAAATATAATTCTCATTTTGTAAAGTCGATAAGTTTTATTTCTAGATATTGCGCTAACAAAGGGAAAGCCAACCTGTTGATACTCGGTTTAATCTACTTTGTTTAAAAGGTTGGTATTTTCCTAAATCTGTAAATGTGTATATACATATATGAGAGAGAAGGGGGGGGGGGGGGGAGAGAAAGGAAGAGAAGGGGGGGGGGTACTTAAAATAGCGGGTCATGCTGGAAGCTGATATTTAGTGCGTCCCAGAAAAAACACCCCAAACAAACTGATATTATGAACAGACTATATTATGTGCTGTATAAAAAAAAAAAGGATTTCCATGAAGTATAAGTAATATGCCTCCAAAATTTAACGATACATTAATGGAATTAAAACACGCTTCACCGAGCAACGTTGTTTTGCAAATGAAATGTAAAAAGCAATTTTTGCCT